ATCACGAAATCAATTTTTAATTTTAATTGTAGAATCAGTCTGAGGTTAGTTTTGCTCAGGAGTAGTTCACTAATCGTCGTGTCGTTGTTGTTAGTCTTTACGTTTTCGTCTTTCTTCCCTTGATATTTGTGGACAAATTCTTCAAGAAGAATGTTTATGTTTTGTGGACCTTGTTGGTTGAAGATTTGATATTTTGCCATAGAAAAGCATTAACGTAAGTGACGTTTACCTTACATCGGGGCACTTCCGGCCATTGTGAAAAAGGTCTATACAAAGTGAAATAGAGCCAGTCGATGGAGCCAGAAGCCTGCCCATGCTCACTTCCTGTTGGGTCAGCTACTGTATGTCCATTTGTTTGTACAGTCTATGGTCTTTCCACTGATCAACCAAAAGCACTTTAAGCTGTTTTATGGGTAATATATTTATAGCATAGAATAATAATCTTACCAGATTTCTTTTTCCCAATTGGTTCCCTGAAAAAAAAAGAAAAAAGTATAAAATTTTATGAACAACAATGATAAAATACATACCGTTAATAAGGAAAGTGCAGGACAAACAAATCAGTGAGTACAGTATCCAGTTAATGATCATTTAATGGTGTACTGTGTTAGCCAGGCTGGCGCCACCTAGTGTTTCCACCCAATTTCATTTCTCTCCAGCGACTAGTAAAGTGTATTTACCTTGCTGACATGTTTCGACATGTCTTTTTACTGTATTGTCTTTAAAAAGAACCCAAGAAGTTAAAGTATGTAAGAAGACAATATGAACATCTGTGGCTTAGCTCTAGGACATTTCAAACGATCTAAAGTCATTCCTCACTTATGCATATCGAGAATAAAGCTAACAACAGCAACAACTAGCATGCTAATAGTGCACTTCCTGATCACCAGACAATAAAACACGCTATAATTAGATCTGGGCGGCACACAGCGTTCTTATTTTGACCTCAACAGCTGCTTATACAATATGGAAAATCTGACACAGGCGGTTTAAGCTTCGCTGGTAGTCTACTTTGAAATCATCCGTAACATGTTGATTAGCTCCATCCATCAAGCTGCTCTGCTCCGTACAATTAATCTGAATTTGCTCGTGCGGGCTTCTTTAGTCAGGAATCATAGTAAGTGATTGTATGATTAGTTAAGATGTCTCCCCGAATCAATAGTGGTTGACCGTTTGTACATGTATTGATTTCGGTGCAGTGTAAGTGGGATTCCTAATGTATTAAAATGCTTCAAAATGATATGCAGCCACGAGTGCGCGAGGGGGAAAGAGGCTCCAGATAAAACCCACGTGTGAGGCAAAGGCTGATGCGCAATTCAACGGAGCAGCTGCTGTATCTGCTTTGGACATCACTGACAGTAATAGTCCGCCGCCCATTCAGGCTAATGCTGTCTCCAGACGCCCTCGTATAACCACAGCCCAGATCCGAGCCTTCTCTGAGCACATTTAACATGCCTGAACCCCATTTTCTCCAATGCAAAATGTGTCTTGCCCCCAGTGCAGATATAATGTATAAGCAGCTCTGAGGTGAAAATACTGTAAGTCTGCTGTGTACCGTCTGCATCTTATTAGAAAGCATTTTGTTATCCGATAATCAGGACGTGAGTATTAGCATGGTAGTTGTTGCTTTATCGTCACAGCACACGCTCAAAGTCCGCTCTGGTCTCTGAGAATTGAGAAAAGCGTTTATAAACTAATTGCAACAAATAATTATTAAGCTCGGAATTTTGAACGCACAATCCAGCTTTTTTTGTTTCGATACTAATGCCGATACTTTGCCCTTATGTGTCTGCCGATATCACCCAAAACTAATGCACAGACTGAAAACACAAACAGCACATGACAGGGGTGTGACGGTACATGTATTCGTGCTGAACTGTTTCCGTATGGGACGATGGGTTCGGTGCAGGGCAATGTACAAGTGAGTTCGCGCAATTTGTGTGTGTTTACTTTCTGCCACTACATGTGCAGCTACACGGAAGACTCGGCTCTTTAATAGTTACGAAGAACTCGTCCGTGAATGGGGTGGCAGTGTTTACCGCAGCGCTTTATAGTTAGGGTGGCTGCCTTGACAACAACTGCCCCCTGCCTTGAGTACGTCCCTCCAAACCACGTGAATCCTTGCAAAACTACGATCGTCACGTCGCGGTCCTCATTTTTCGCTGGTGTAGAATCTCCACCCCCCTGCAGTGATATTGTAACTGCAGCAGATCTGCACAGATAATATGGACAAGTTGTTTTTTCTGGACAAAAATCTGAAGATGGAGTAAAAGTTCATGCTGGAATTGTTAGTGCTGCGCTTTACTTTTTGAAAAGATTTGTTTACTGTTTACAAGGAATTTATTTTTTATAATATTTCATACATTTGTTGTTTATTTGAGAATATTTTATTTAACTTATCAGTATTAACAAGCGCCACTTTGCATTTATTTTATTTTCCCGTTTGTATAATGTTAAAACTAATTGTTGGTTTAATAAACACACAAATAAACAACAAGAAAATGGTTTTCCATTTTGTTCCCAAACTGAACCAAAAATGAACTGAACCATGAACTCAAAATTGAGGTACAAACTGAACCATGATTTTTGTGCACTGATACACCCTTAGTCCATGGTATAAAATGATCCAAATGTGTTTCGTAACTGTTATTTCTCATTTAAAGTAACTATAAAACTATTTTGAAAAATATTACAAGGTCTTTGTGCCAAAAATGTCAAGTAAATCGCCTTATTACCCAAATGTACAGACCAAAATACAATATTGATACTGAAAAATGTTCAGTTGTATTGGTGCACCCCTACAATGGCTGGGTATCATTCAGAAGTTGCCGATACGATATATACCTTGATACATAGGCCATGATATGATACATGTCTCGATACAATGCACTTTCGGTTAGATACGATATATTTCAAATCGATTCAATAGGGTTCAGTAAAAAAATAAAAGCTAAATGGTGGCTGTGATACTAAAAGTCTTTGTTAAACCACTTCTTGTGCAAAGTTCATATAAAACACAAACATTTTAATCCTCAAAACAGTTAAAAAGTCAAATGTGTTTCCTTCAACTGAACAAGCAACAAAACTCTAGCTCTGTAACTAAATATTTAAGTAAAATATACCAAAAAAATACTCTTGGCGATATATATCAATACAGCAGCCCACAATACTGATTCTGTATTACCACATTAAACGATATATCAATATATTGATATTTCGAATGATTTTGGACCACTGCAAACTGTATAAAATGACCTAGTTTTTCACATTTTTAAAACAAATCAAATAAAGAACAGCACCTTTGAAACCAGTGTTCCAATATAACCTTTCTTCATCTTCCTTCCTGCCTTAAACACAGCTACACTCACACTCACTCACTCTCCTCTTATTTTCCTTGGCACACAGTCCTTCTTCCTGAATTGGCCGCTCCCAGCCTCAAAAACACTGTTCGATTGGTGAAACTGTTAATAACATGATAAATCTCCGGCCGTATAAGTGAACGCATTATCAGCCTATAAAAAGAAAGGCGAGAAGCAGCCAAGATCAGCAATGCAATGATCTGGAGTATTATAGTGTTAGAAAATAGGCTTGGGCAGTGTTGCGGTCTCAAACACGGAGGGTTAGCTGGACGTAATTATCTGAAATGGGTAAAATGATCCATGGTACTACTTCCCATGTCAGTCGGAACTACTACAATTTGTACAAGTGAAGTAATACTTTTGTTTTTATAGAGTACACTGCTGAGAACTGCACTTTCACTTCCACGTTCACAAGTAAACACGACTTGACTTAAAGTGCTTTTGACAGATAGACTACTCATTTTGCTAAAACATAATTAAGAGTGTGGCATGAGACTGTGTGAAAGAGTTCAAATATGAGGTCAAATCAGAAGAGGAGAATAGTTTATGGTCATTTTTCATTTACATTTTTCGAAATGGGAAAATAACGATGTTTTGTTGTGGTTTGTTGTGTTTTTTGCATTTCACTAAGACACAGTTCGCTAAAATAGTTTTGTTCTATGTGTGTAATTTATAATTTTACTTCCTGGTTAGGTATATATTAGGGATGTAACGATATCTAAATCTCACAGTACGATATTATCACAATATGCATCCCACGGTACGATATTTATTGCGATATTTTGAAGAGGCAAATATAATTGTAGATAGGACACTTTTTTGCTTTTAAAATACCTTGGTGTGAATCATTACTAGGGGTGTAACGATATCCAAGTCTCACGATACGATATCGTCACGGTATGAACCTCATGGTACAATATTTATTGTGATATCGTGGGAAAGCTCACGATACGATGGGGAGGCTCACGATTAGGGATGTAACAATATCCAAATCTCTCTGTACGATATTTTCATGATATACATCTCACGGTACAAATATTTATTGCGATATTTTGTGGAGGCGAACAAAACTGTGAATATGCTATTTTTTCCTCTTAAAGTGTCTTGACAAGATTTAATCCAAAGACTTAAAAGTGTTAGAACTGTTATTTCTTCATGTAGTCTGCACTGAAATGGAGCTATTGCTGAGAGACTTGTAATCTGATATATTGTGATGGTCCACGATATTATTGCGAGAACTTTGATGATACGATATCATGGTATTTCGGTTATTGTTACATTCTTAATAATTTCCGTCATAATCCCAAGAATTTAAGTAAAAAACATATTTCTCCATGTTGTCTGCACTGAAATAAATCATGGGATATGTAGTTCCCGATGTTCTTAAGCTGTTACTGCAATAAAAGCACGCATTTAAGCAAAGGAACTTATGATTCGATATATTGTGACAGCCCACGATATTATTGTGAGACTTTTGATGATAAAATATCACAATATTTCGGTTATTGTTACATCCCTAGTATATATAAAATCCTTCATCCATATCTTATTAAATTAAATATTAAAAGATCTCTTGGTGCAGAGTAAACTATTTTGTCTACACATTATAGGGCCCATATTATTTTACCTATGTTGTAATATTGTTTCAGTATCAAAAACATACCCAGAGTTGTGTATTATTTCATTCATGTGTTTAACGCCCTGCATTTTTACGCTGAGTTCTTCTCTCAAGACAGAAAACACTCTGTTCCACTGTGTTTTTAAACTCCACACACCTTTACAAAAATAATCTGGATCATTTCAGACCTGTCTAGGACCAGGCAGACACACTCTTGGAGTTTTGTTATGTTTAAGTCTATATTATTATTATTATTATTTATGTCTGGGCCATGATGTTTAATACTGTGGACTTTAACAACCATGCTAAATATAAAGTGAGCCTTTTGGAATTTTGAGTAGCCTAAAATTCTGTTGAGGTTCTGGGCCTGTTGATCCCCAACTAGTAATGAAATCATCACAGATCCATTGATTTTAGTTAGATTTGTATATTTTTTTTCTGTGGAATGAGTTTAATGTTTGGTGAAAAGAATGGCACATTGGCTGACGTCATAACTTGGGAGAATAGTTAATTGCCAGTGAAGTAAAGATGAAAATATTGGAAAAAAAGTGAAAAACGCCTTATTTTTTGCATTAAATTGAGCCAAAATCATGTAAAAATGTGTTTTAAGAATAATTTTTTCACTCAGTGTTGTCACCATATGTGTTCTTTGCATGTGGAATGCATTTATTGACAGCTTACCAACCCCTGAAGAAATTTCATACACTAAAATGGCCACCTTTTTATTTTTTTCCGCGATATTTCCGGCAGAGCAGACACTCCAATTATTGGTCCTCAGGGTCAAAGTTAACAAAAAAACAACAACAAAAAAACACAAATAAAAAGTATGACCCAGTTCAACCCATTTTATCATTTTATTGAGCTTTTGAGACTTTTGGTTCCCCGACTAGTCTGTGATGTGTTCAGTCTTTAAAAGCTCCAGTCTATGTGATGCCACGTTGGAGAAAAATAAGTGAAATATCATGTTGCGGAGCCTTCTACAAAGCAAAAACATCTCGGTGGAGACCAGCAGCTGGGAGAATCCATCCTCTCTCCATCACTTACAGTCATCCCCCGTACTTCCTCTTGGCTTCACTCCTCTCTTCCTCTCTCGCTTTCCTGAGCTGTGTCTAGCATTAAACGGGAGGTAGGCTGTCAGAGCTGTAGATTTATAATGCATGATAAATATATGCTACTCCAGCCTCTGTGTACCTGTCACTCAGCCAAACAACAGGCGACACGGGCAGCCAGCTAATCCCATTTCAATAAAGTCAAACCAAGGTCTTCCCCAGATCCTCACTTTAAATGAATTGGAGCTTTCACAGTATTAAGCCCCTCCCCCTACAGCCTATGGGGTCACTCATGGAGAGGCGTGTCCTTGGTACAAACCCATTACAGAGGCCAAGACTTAAACTAGGCTCGAATAATATGCCACGTTTGAGTGAAAGCACAGTAGAGGTGTATTGATTTTTGTGAAGTGTATAACAATGATGGGACTGTACGGGTAAGTCAATGAAACCCTGTGGACCTCAGATGGAAGACGAGGATATAAGAAAAGACTGATGTGGACCTCCAGATCCCTGTGCGTCGTGTAGGCTTTATACACGTGCAGACTGAGCAGACTGAGGAAGAGCGTGGAGCAAACAGAGGAACTGAAAAAGGACAACCAGGGAAACCATTAGAATAGGCCTATGTGAATAAAGTGCATGTGCTTGATGGTGCACACGCATGTGGAGGGTTTGTCACTTGGCTGTTCGCACCTTTCCAAGAATCCTGCAGACACCCATGGTACTGTGGATTTCAAATACTGGTTCATCTGATATTCTGGTCATATAAACTGATAATAAGACTGATAAGATTTAGATTTACTGGTCAAAGTCGGCCCAGAAAGTCTCATAATATTTGAACTAGGGATGGGCATTTGTTTAAATTTTCTTAATCGATCGTCGGGAGAATTAACAACAGATTTTCGATTAATCATTAACATTTTTATATTAAAATAATCATCATTATTATTACTATTACTAACTAACATATAAAATTACAACCACTCTAGAGACACATCAGCCCGTTTGACATTATAATGTGTTTAATGCAGCTTTGACACATTTGTTTACGTTTTACAGAAACAAAACTTAAAACCACATGGCTCATTTGCATAAACTATAAGAGCTGAAAAAACAGCTCTTTCCTTGTGCACTGATGTGGTTCAGCTTCTGTCGGACTAAAGGACACGACTCAGTGGAATATAAGTTC